GTCCTGTCCTGGAAGAGTACTCTGTGCTTTGCTAGCCTGGCTGAGTTCTGTAGAAAGCACTTTGCCAAGCACTAAGCTCTCCGCCCTCCCAACTGTGGAGCCCTGGCCTGGCCTCACGTCCAGTGCTCTACGCATGCCATTTGGCAGCTTGGAAACAAATTGAAGTTCACAAATCAGCAGTGTGGGCAGCTGGTCTCTTTCTCTACCAAACAAAGAGGGTAAAGCTAATGCAGGTCACTCCAAAGGAGGCTAAAGAGGGCATACATAGGAAATATTGCCTTGTATTGGAAGGCTATTGCCTTTCAAATGAAATTTAAAATTAAGGAGACTGAATTACAAGTGTCTGCTATAGGAAGTAATAGGAAGACCATTGATCAGCTATTGAAGAGAGAATCGCATTTCAGATATTGCAGAGTCTTAGGCTAATATGCACAACACTCCTGAAGAATTTTCAGCTCCCAGAGAAGTTAATCCCTTTAGCCTGAAAATACATGCATGCATGGACACACACATACACACACACAAATACACACACAAACTTTTTTCTTCTCGGGATACAGAAGCCTTATACAGACAGATCTGATTCACTAGTGTGGAAATAAATGACTCAATCCTGCTTCTTAACAGAGTACTATGTGTGAAAATGGCTTCAGGAGGAACAAAAAAGTAGAATAATTTGTTCTTATAGGTTAATCTTCTAGATCTCATGAAGTGTTTATTCTACCTGGATTCTAGGAGGCAAAGCCAGCAGACAGTTTACACAAAAGTCCCCTTTTGGAAATGGCTAGAATATCCCCCAGCAGGCCGGGCAGCAAAATCACAAGTCCCTGGTTGCAGGATGGTTCTCAATTGAATTCAGCAAGTATTTATCGAGCTCCTTGCTGTGCCCCAAGGCTGAGCTAGGCTAAGCCATAAACAGAATAAAAGATGGAGAAGAGCTATCATCTCCCCCACCCTAGGTCAAGTTGAACTGCTGGCTCCAGTTAGAGAGCTATGAGCCAGGCTTTGGGCAAATGCTCCCCACCTTCAGTGCAGGGTTGAGCTTCAAGCTGTGTCAGCCTTCAGGATAAGAACTGTCCAGTATTCACCCAGAATCTGAGGCAAGTTATGTCAGAAGTTCTTCATGGGAGGCAATAAGGAACATGGAAAAAGAGGGCAATTTAAAAGCCCAGTCCAGAGGCAGAAGCAGCAGCAAGTTGAGACTTGGATGGATTTGATGTGAGTAGGAGTCAGGCTTGTAGCCTTGGAATAAGAGAGAGGAAGTTAAAAGTGCAGTGGGTTAACAAATCCACTGCCTCACACACTCATTTTTTTTGGTAGTGAAAACATTTAAAATGTACTCTTTTAGCAATTTCGAAATATACAATGCATTATTATTTATTATAGTCACCATTCTGTGCCATAAATCATTAAATCAACTAAAAATAAAATTTTAAATTAAAAAATGCAATGCCTGTATCTGGCTGTTGAAGGCCAAGTAGAGAAAGACCCTGGATCCTTCAACTCATCCGTCTTTCATTTCCAGAGGGCAATTCCTTTACAATCATCATGGCCCCAGGGGTCCCAGCTTTCTTCACTGTCATAGTGGGCAATTTCATTTATGATAAAGAGCTCAAGTTCCAGAGTATAGAGCATGGGATTAATTCTAGGTATAACACTTATACACACACTTTGTATCCACGAGTCCTACCTTCATGCATTCAACCAACTGCGTCTGGAAAATATTTGGGAAAAAATTCCCAAAGTTCCCAAAAGTAAAATTTAAAAATTCACCAAGTACTATGTTAAGCCTATACTAATGTGGTAACATATACATTTATATTAGATATTATAAGTAATCTAGAGATGATTTAAAGTACATGGGAGGATGTACATAGATTATGTGCAAGTACTATGCTATTTTACATCAGGAACTTGAGCCTTGTTGTAGTCCTGGAACCAATGCCCCTCAGATACCATGGGGTGACTGTTAGGCAGGAACCTAGACCCAACATGGCAGTATCACCCGATATGGCAGGTCCTTTTTTAGGACTTCCCACCCTTCACGTCCTGCTAAGACTTTCAGCGCGGGTAAAAAGCCCGCGCCCACCAAAAACCCCCCGCTCTGCGCAAACTCCTGGACACGTCATTCCTCAGAAATCGAAACCTAACTCAGGAAACCGAAACCTACAGACCCCACCTACCTTGCCCTATAAAAGGCCCCGATACCTGCCCCGAGCACGACTTCCTTGGCCCTCCTCCTAGAGGACCGGTGAACCTCACCCGCAAGCCCAATAAAGGCTGCCTCTGTTCTCATCTGCCTCATGTCTTCTTGCTCGGCTCCCCATTACATTACAGTGACTGTACTTCTGAATCTCTATTTAATAATACATTCCTGTTGGGATGATGTAAGGATCCAATTAGATCATTTAAGTTAAGTAAGCACAGGGCCTGGCACAAAAGAAGCGTTCAGTACATGTTACCTATGACTTCATTCATTTTTTCAACAAATGTATATCAAGTGCCTACTAAGTTGGCCAAGTCTTGCTGTCTATGCCATGCAGAAATAAACCCAACACAGTCACTGTACCGCAGGAACATATAATTCAGGGAGAAAGAGGCCAGTGAAGAAACAACAGCTATAGCACAGAGTGAAGATGCTTGGAGAGGCAGCCAGAGGCTGCTGAACCATGGAGAAAGGCCACTGGGCCCATGCGGGGCCAGGCAAGCTTCTGGAGGGCTTCACTCCTGGTCTGCCTTGAAAAGCGAGTAAAAACTAT